GTTAATATTGACAAGTTTGTATGGAGTCGATCCTACTATGACCTAGCGGAAAAATAAACAACATGGATGACAAGAATAAAATAAACATGGTGTGAAGATTTGGTTAATTTAATCAAAATCTTCAAGTGGGAGATTGTGAGAAGAAAAGTCACACATCAGGGAAATCTTAGTTTGGTGTTTCCTTTTCTTCCTATAAAAGGAGCATAATATTTACCTTGTATGATACACTAAAATCACTTCTTTTTCTTTCTCTTGCTGCTTTAGTACTTGAGAGATAAATTAAGAGAGAAAAATAGTTTCTCTTTTTAGGTTCTCTTAGAATTGTTTTTCCTTTATTTGCAGGAGAGGATATTATTGTTTCCTCCTTAAAAGTAGAGAGAAAAGGATTGTAATTTCATTAGTGAAATTACTTTTTTACCTGTTGTCGATATTTTTATCATCTTTTTATTTTAATTGTGTGTAATTATATTTTTGTCCGATAATTAACAGTAGCTAGCATTGACCATCAATTATGTGAGAAGAGAGCTGACAGGAAGAAATGGGTTTGTGTAGTGTGTGCCTGAGTCTTCAATCAATGCCTTTGAATTTAGGTAGTAAAGAGCTTAATTATGGGACCTAACCATGTTCCTCTACTATGCAAAACTCAAGTTCCAATTCCAATTACTCTCCCCACGCTACCCTCCATGTCCTTTCAACATTTTACAACATCTTTTTTCACCACAATATCATTTCTCTATTTATAACACATTTAGTACAAGGCACATTCTTGGTGATGAGAAGATGTACGAAATGCAACATCAGCACTTGATGAAACGAGGAACAACCTGTAACAAGGTGATTGTTCCAAGTTTATGGTCACCATGTTTAATGAGTTTGGAAATTGGAAGGAACATGGTTGTGGTTGAAAACAGCCATTAACACCCAAACACCCACTCACACACCTCACCATTCTATTTTGAGATTTGTTGAATGCCACCTCTCATTCCCAAACCACACCTCGCGTGCACGTCAAGGGAACTGTACATAATAATGCCTCTTTCTCTTATCTTTCTTGCCTCGCCTCTCTAATTAGGAAAAAAGGACAATACCCGTTTCTTAGCCATAATTCTCCACTTTCACCAAAATAGAAAAATGTGTTACCACTTATTTCATCATCTTTTCTAGTTTAACCCTTATCAGAATCAGAATATGGACCATGTCACTGTGCGTACTCCCCATAATTCAACCAATCTAATTCCATATCATGCTGCGCAAAACAAAAATCCATATCGAATGTCCAACATTAGAGCACAAGTGTTACTAACCAATTTTCATTATAAAATCACTATCATTATTCATAACTCACTTACGACTCTTGTCTACAATAAGAAGTTGAAATCATTAATTAAATTCTCTCCTAATAGATTCATCTTTTAAATTAGACTCTTCTTTTTTGTGTATTAGTTTTAAGATGATATTTAACTTCTGTAATGAACAGTATTTGGAAGTAAAATTTAAAGTTTCAGATGATATATTTTTTGAGTTTTAATAATTTATACTTTGATTTTGAAAGATAAACTACACAAAATATTATTATAGATATACATATATGTGTGAATCTACTTTGTTTGTACACTTATTTTATAAAATTGTTTTCCCAAGTGGAGGGATGTTTGATGAAATTGGTAAAATGAGAAGTCACTTTTAGAATCAGAAAATGTAAATGATATCACCTTCTTTTACACAAGCTCTGGCATCAAGCATGTAAAGGTAATTGGCAGAAGAGTGTAAGAGAAGAACATTTAACTCTTTCTTTTGAACCTTGCAAATGCTTCTCCATGTTTTTTGGAGAAATGCAAAATCATGACCCCAAAAAACTCTAATTATGAACTACGTACCACAAGTCTAGACTGAAGAAAATGTGACAAAAAAAGAATCATAATTTGTTCAATTATGGGTATTGTACAAGACAAATTAGATATTTTCTAACTTTTTGTTAACAATGCCCAGATTGAAGCAAAATAGATAAATAGAGGCAAAGGTGGTGTAGTCAAAGTTGTTGTGCTTATTTAATGGAGGATCAAAGCAACAACAGTAAACACCATGTGAGCCACTTACATAAGATTCAAGAAACCCATCAAAATCATTCATCCTACCTTCATCTGGTTGCCATTTAATACCAATCCCTCCTTTCCATTTTTTTTTCTAATCATCATTTTTTGTTGAAAATCCCACAACGATCTCATGTAATAGTGTGGTAAGGTTTAAATGCTCAACGATCTCACGTAATACTGTGGTAAGGTTTATTTGTTAAAGTATTTTTCTTATTACCGGTTGGAATCTTATTATCTAAAAAACAAAAAGTATTTTAATTAGTCACACAAAAAGTTGTTAATTATTTAGTTTTAACGAAACTAAAGTTAAATTTTTAGTTTATTCTTTTATGGTTTTTTAATAGGTACTCGTATGATTTTCCATATTTTATAAGTTCTTCAAGAAACACATTGATTAGCAGTATCTAAAATTATAATTAAGGAAGAATGAATTGTCTGTTTGATGAAATTGCTGTCCCTATAATTATTTTTTTAACCGTTTTTCAACGGCAGTGGATCCATATACTATATAATTATTTGATTGAAACTCCTAAGTCTTACCTAACATCGACTAGGTGTAACAACTGACACTTTTTACACATTTTTTCTTCCTCTACAGTTTCTATATCCACATTCTTTGGTTATAAGATAAACCAAAATTAGTATAGTGGCTACACAAAATAGGGTCAAAATAGTATTTTGAACGAAAAACTGGTATGTGGCTAAAGTGCCAAATTTGTTTATGAGACTCATACCTCTCTTCCTCTCTCTCCTATTTAATCCACCCCACCCTAACGCCTTTCACTCTCAATCTCACACAATTTTTCCTTCATATACCTCTCTTTGCTCACACTTCCTCACACCCTTTTCTTCATTTTCACTAACCAAACCAAGTCATGGGGCAAAGACAGATCTTTGCTCATGTGGCCATTTGGGTTCTCATGCTCCTAGTTGGAGCCTCTTGTGCTAAAGCAGGAGAAGGTGAAGCAGCTGATAGGATTTTGGCACTCCCTGGCCAGCCAAAGGTGTCATTTCAGCAGTTCTCGGGCTATGTTACTGTCAACAAGGTTGCTGGTAGAGCTCTCTTTTACTGGCTCACTGAAGCTGCACAAAATCCTCTCACCAAACCTTTGGTCATTTGGCTTAATGGAGGTTAGAAGTTACATCTTCAAACCATTCAACCCTCTTCTCTTTCTTACACAAAAAATCATTGCATCATCTCCAACCACTACGATTTCAAACGATTTTTACATGACAATAATCAAACATTGCTAACATACTCTCTTATTCGTAGTAAGTATCATAAAACATGATGATCCAAAATTACTATCTAATCATTTCTCTTACACATCAAAAGCTACTTTAACATTTTGATTAAGGGAGAGCAATTGCATGCAGAATTTAGTTTCTTTAATGGTCTGTACATATCTAAAGTCACTGTTATATCGCCTTTGATTAGTGTATGGTTTTGGTTTTCTTTTCCTCATTTGGTATTTTCTCTTTTGCTATTAGTAACGCTAACAAACGGTTCAAAACACAGCCACTACCATTTTGCTACCGACATATGCCAGTCAACAAAATGTACAAATACTAGTATATTTTTCTGAAGCCTTTAAATATTTTTCTGTGCATCTTTAAAGAACGAGACTTCCATTTCATTTCTTTTCCTTAAATACCGCTTATGGGAATCGCTTAGTTTGACTTGAAATTCAATGAAAACATTTATTCTTTTCCGTGTTGCTTACTTTTTAAAATGGCTTCTTTAATTAAACCTGCTATGTTATTGCATTTTTGGGTATTGAATTGGAGGGAGAAAATGAAAAAATTTTAGAGTGAAAATTGATGTAGAAATGCATTGAATTCTTGTACCGTGAAAGAAACAAAAGAAAGTGTAGGTAGAGCCCACATGAGTGGGTTGGCAAATGGCAATGGATAGCTTGGAATGATGACCTAACTAACGATGAATGGTACACACAGTGAACTTCTGCTCTCTATTTTTTCTTTTTTGTGTATGAATCACAGATACATACATAGACGCACACTTACACACGCATGGCACTTAATGCTTGAAAGCAACTAAAAACCAGACTCATTAATGATTAAATAGGGTCAGAGCCATTATTTAAGGTTCTGTTATGCAACTTGTCAGCTGGCATTGCCACACCACACCACACCATCAATGCAACCCTATGTTTAGCACTATGCCTATGCCTTTCTCTCCCTATAATCCACATTTATATATCTATCTATCCATCTAACCATTTAATCCAACTTTAATTAAAACCCCTTTTAAATCCTTTTGAAACAAACAACATGGGTCTCGTTACTCTATTTTATTAGCTGATTAAGCAACTCATGCTGACATCTTCATACAACATTTCATTTTATTTTCATTCCAACACATTTCTTGTTCTTTATTTTAGTATGTATTTGTGCACTTTTGTTGTCAATTACTTTCTTATATAATTGAGTAATTAAGATTATTTTGAATGGGATACAAAGAAATTTAACTCTTACAATATAATAATATAGTAGAACGTCTATGCTATTTTGCAGTGGCAACAGTGTAGGAAATTGAGTATAAATGAAGTAGTTGGAAATAATATATACAATGGTGAAACAATAAATAAGGGTAATTTGGTCTAAGTGTATATAGATTGAATATTCCTTAACTATGAGTAAAAATCTTAAACATCTAAAGTTTTGAAAGATAGTGAAGAGATTTTTTTTCTGGAGTAGTAGGGAGATTTTAGGAGGATGTGTCATTGCCGTATTATCATTTTCTTTAAGACATAACAATAGAAAACAGATTTGTTAGAGATAAAGGTCAAATAGTAAATGAATAAAAAAATGTTTGAAGATCATAATAAAGTCAATTTATTTATTTATTTATTTATTAACACAATGTTAAATTTTGTGGTAAATTAGGTCCAGGGTGTTCATCAGTGGCATATGGAGCATCTGAAGAGATTGGGCCATTTCGAATAAACAAAACAGCTTCTGGGCTATACCTTAACAAGTTTTCATGGAACACAGTGGTCAACCTCTTGTTCTTGGAAGCTCCGGCCGGCGTAGGCTTCTCCTACACCAACCGCTCCTCCGACCTCCTCGACACCGGCGATCGCCGCACCGGTAGGGCCCACAAACCTCACAACCACATTAATTGTCACCACTGTTCACGGTTCATATATCTTTCCTATTGTGATGAGATTTCTTGGTAGGCCATGGAAAATAATAAAGATTTGCATGTTATAATTGATGATAAAATGGGAAGCTGAATGGACGAGGTTCACCAAATTAATTACTACTTCTAACATTATTATTATTAATATTATTATTATTATTATTATTATTATTATTATTATTATTATTATTATTATTATTGTGAGTTGAAATGTGTCCCCGAACATAATTGCCAGTTGATACTGATGGAGAAATTTTGGTGGTCCACGTTTATCACATAATAATTTATGTATTGACCAACCACGTACCTCTTCAACATATAGCCACGTTGTACTTGCAGCACTCGCTCCAATACAAAAATTTCTCATCATCGTAATTGAAACTTCCGAAACGCGATTCAGCTGAAAACAACACCTAGAGTCTATAGTTCAGAGTTCAGTTTTACTACTTTTCATCCATTTGACTTGATTAGCAAAAAAAATGTTTGGTGTCTCGGAAAAAATCATTCAAAGTTATGACATTTACCAACTCATTTTCTTTGCTTTTTTTAAACGTCTCTTCATAAATATGTTGTGATTAATCACTTTTCTAATCAATGGCTAATGAATTTTAACCTTGTATGGGCGTGTGTTGAATTTACTGTTCAGCCCAAGACTCTCTGGAATTTGTTCTCCAATGGCTAAAACGGTTCCCCCGTTACAGAAAAAGGGAACTTTATATCACTGGAGAGAGCTACGCAGGCCATTATGTTCCTCAATTAGCTAAGGAAATCATGAACTATAATGCCAAAAGCAAGCATCCCATCAATCTGAAAGGAATAATGGTTAGTGCATTGAAGTGAAATTTGGTATTACTGAATGAGGTATTTTTAATAATATATATAAAAATGCAATGCAGGTAGGAAATGCAGTGACAGACAACTACTATGATAACTTGGGGACAGTGACGTATTGGTGGAGCCATGCTATGATCTCGGATCAGACTTACCGGCAACTGATGAGTACATGTGACTTTCACCGGCAGAAGGAATCTGATGAGTGTGAGTCAGTGTATAGCTATGCCATGGATCAAGAATTCGGTAACATTGATCAGTACAACATCTATGCTCCTCCATGCAACAACTCTGATGGTAGTACCTCTCCCACCCGCCACACCATGCGCTTACCTCACCGACCCCATAAGGTATCAATTTGATTTTCATCACTACTGTCTCCTCCCCGCTGTAATCAACTTTTTTTTATTTTTATTTTTTTATAATTCTGTGTTGTCACGTCACATCTTTTTTTTATACTCTGACAAATAAAATAACTGTCTGCTTTAAATATGTGTTATAGATTTGATTTTCAACTTAATATGTATGAAGGGCAGAAAGATGTCATCATTTAAATGAGTTTTTATGCCTTCATAGAATTAGTCTTTATCTCTTAACTAAGAGATATTAATCTCCCCCAAAAAAAAAAAAACTGTTCATGAGAAATAAAACGTTGCGACCTAGTTATTTGCTCCTTTTAAAATATTAGTATGAAAACAGTGGCAGTTTTAAATAAGATAAAACTAATTCATATTTTGAATATAATGCAAGATTAAATTGTTGACATTGAATTTGTCATATGATGTATATTTCTTTCTATATATATATATGACATCTAATCTTGTTCATATTAGCTTATGGAAAAAATTTATTCTCAGGCTTTTCGGCATTGGTCTGGTTATGATCCATGTACAGAAAAGTATGCAGAGATTTACTACAACAGGCCTGATGTTCAGAAAGCACTCCACGCTAACACAACTGGGATTCCCTATAGGTGGACTGCTTGCAGGTGAGTTTGTGCTGTGAAGGGTTGAATCCCAAGTTTTGATTGCAATTTAACTTGTCAGAATTATATATGTACAAAGGGTTGCTGATGATTATGTTGATTTTTTATTTGGTTCAGTGAGGTTTTGAATCGGAACTGGAATGATACAGATGTATCTGTTCTTCCCATTTATAGAGAGTTGATAGCTCACGGAACAAGAGTTTGGGTGTTCAGGTTGGTTTTGAAATGCATATAGCTCTCCTATGCGTGCACCCTTAAGACTCTCTCGTAGCTGCACCATCTAGTTGAAAGGAAGAGAAGCATGATAAGTAGAAAACACTTACAGTACTGTTCTCATCTTAGAATAGGAGTTTCACTTCTATGTAATAAAACTTTCTATTAAAAGTTAAAATAAGTGATTGAAGTGAAACACTAATTTTGAACTTTTTATTAGCGAACAGTATCAAGAACAATTAAAGAACCGTGTCAAAATTTTGTTAATTGCTACATGTCTCCTTTTCTCTCACACGAGATGGTGCAGTTGGCAAGAAAGGATCCAAGTCAATGATTAATGGGTAGATGCATATTAATTATGTTTGGCACTTTTTGCTAATACAGTGGAGACGTGGACTCAGTGGTGCCCGTCACAGCAACAAGATATGCTCTTGCACAGCTTAAGTTGTCAACTAAAATACCATGGTATCCTTGGTATGTCAAAAACCAGGTAAGTGAATTTGAAAATTGTTCTCCTCTCCCATATATATATTCATTAGTAATTACTACCTAGTAGCTATTGCCATATGACTTGCATAGTTTTACTGCTGTTAGCTATCTAGCTAGGGTTTACAATAGAGCTACTCTGAGTCTCCAATGGGACATTTTTGCACATAGATGAGAAATTATGTTGAAGTGGATAATGAAGCTTAATTATGACATTGGAATAGTCAACTATGTATGCTTGCAGTTGCCGGTTGGTCCTTACTCATTAATTAATGTTCTTGAATCCTAGTGTAGTTAATTGGACATTTCTGGTATGTATGGTTCCAAAATCAATCTCAACCTGATGCCAAATGTGTAAAGGTCCTACTGTCCTACCTTCAATTATTGTTTTAAAATGCTCCTTTATCAATATTTACCATACAGCATCTAGCCCCAACTTAAATGGAGCAGACCTACACTTTGGCCCGAAACTAATAAACCTGCAGTTATGGGCAAACTACTGTATATATACAGTAAATAGAGTTCTTAAATTTTCATGTATACTAGTACTACTTCAATTTCTCATCACATGTGATACACAGGTAAATCCTTAAATGGTACATGTGGATACTCTGATATACCCACATATAAATACACAGCTTTTTTTAACTACACCCAGATGAGGTGGGTGTTTCTTAAAAACTATGAGTGTAGGTCTCATTTAAGAAGATACAAGAGGAAGCAAATGAAAATTTTCCTGTATATAACATATTTTTGCATGAAAATGGAAAATTCAATTCATGCTAAAACTGTACAAGTTAATTCAATGTTAAGTTTTAGAGAGTGAAGGAATTTTTGGGGTTTTTATGTGAAGGTTGGAGGGTGGACAGAGGTGTACGAAGGGGTAACATTTGCAACAGTGAGAGGAGCAGGGCATGAAGTGCCTTTGTTCAAGCCAAGAGCAGCCCTTCAGTTATTCACATCATTCATTGCAGGAAAGCCTCTTCCAAAGTCCTAAAATAGCATAAATAAGATGCTGTTAAGAAAAGGGAAAAGGAGAGGAGAAAAAGAAAAGAATGACAAAGGTAAAAGACAGAAACAAGTGTAAAAGCCCAGAGATGCTAATTTCTATTGCCTTGTATTGTTCTGAACAAATGTTGTGACATTTTTCTTTGTCAACAAATTAACAAGAGGGGTCGTGGAAAGAGTAAGCCTCCATTCCGCAATCTAAATGTGTATTTTTTTTTTCTTTCTAGTGAAAACAGTTCTACATTTTTAATAGAAAATTTCTTAAAAACATATCTACTTTGTATCTAAACAAGCCTGAAATAAGCCAAAATAAAAGAAGTAAAAACTGGGTATGCTTACTTTACTTATCAATAGGTCAAGGAAAATGTAAAAAAATATGTATAAAAAAAAATAGATATCTTATCATCTCATCGTGAATTTTCACAAAAATTATTTATATTTAATTTTTATAAATATTTGGCCTAACTCCCAGATGGGTAAAAGATGGGATTCAAACCAAATGACCAATTCCCTAATATTTGGGGATTGGTACAACATTATCTTATTAACAAGCACATTAATTAAACGATATGTTATAGCATAACATGTTTGACATTCCTTACATAATTTCGTGTTTTTTGCAAAATTAAGGTACCTAATGTTTGTTTTATTTATCAAGTTTCAATTCAATGTTAGGAAGCTAAATCTTTAATTACTCACTTTGACTATAAAAGATAATAACGTAAATTGTATACCATAAATGTTGGGTCAACTTTCAAATTCCAGAAGGTTCTTCTAAACTTGTTCAAGTGTCGTTTAATTTTATTTATTTTTAAGAAATTATGATTCTTCAGTTTGAACGTATAAATGATTGATCATAGTCAATGGGAGGTTTGAGGAACTTGTGGACTCGCTGTATAATTTCTTAATTAGTATATCTGGGATTAGTTAGTAAGATATAATTTTATATATGTTTAATTAATTTTTTGTTTCAACAAATTTCTTTGATAAAAATTTCTATTAGATTTTGTTAAGCCCTATATGGAACATGCACTAATTTTGGAATGGGCCTTACTTAGCTTTTGTTAAGCCCAAGATGTAAAATACACTAATTTACTTTACACATTGTTACTTTCTCTTCTTTTTATAAATTTTGCATCACCTAATTTTATAATTTTTCAATTTGATTAAATTACAAATTCATCCTACTTTAAAAAATGCATTAGAAATAGAAAAAAGACCAACGCAAATGTGGATGTTATAATTGTAGGACTTTAAAACAAGATATTGACCAAAGGTCTTTGTTTTTCTACCTTGGTGTGAATCAAAGGTAGAGAAGGAAACTATGATGAAACAACCTCACAAAGCAGCAATGGAGCCCAGATATGAAATCATTTTTTGTGACGTGAGTCACGGTTACACTTTATACCAACAAAACAATAATGCCACCTTCTTGATGTCTATTTATTGTTATTAATTTTGTGCCGTCCAAATTATTCACCATCACATCCATAACACTGTTGTTATCAGTACAAAACTACCAAATTCCCTTTCTAGAGGAGTGAAAGTATTATTTTTATAACCTTTGTCTTTTGAAAAAGAAAACACTATTAGCAGATACATATTGTATTAAAGATCCTATAACTGAAAAATGCATAGTTTGCTTCTTCTTATTAAAGATATTTAGTGATCAAACCTCAGTAAAAGTTGCCAGCATGAAGGAAGAAAAAACTCCCCCCAAGAAAAAGACAAGGGTCTAAGAAGTCAAAAGCAGAGCAGTAGTAGGAGAAATTCATGCATGAACCTATTCAATTCATTTAGATACATCATGTGAACCAAGTTTATAACATTACTACCCCCAAGTGATGAGGTCCAATATATTATATGTTTCTTTGAACATGATATTTTATTTCAACATATTTGTTGATTTTAAAGAATAAACTAAAAATTGGTTTTTCTAATTTATTGTCACCTAAATATTTAAATAAATTCATAACTACATTCTATGGGATTTTAATAAAAAAGGTATCTGATCACAATAATTCGAGTAGCTTATAAATTTCTTAAAATATTTATTATTTGAAAAACAATTAATATGAAATGGAGATAACAATATTCAGCCAATACAAGAAGAATATTAAACTTTGCATTCAAATGATATTTTTAAACTGTGTTCGTTCCTGAAATAAGTAATGATATACTATTGATCAATGCTTTAATTCAAAACATATCTTACTTTTAGTACATTAATATTTAAAGATTAAAAAAAACACTCGTATTTGATTTTCTTAAATCAAATACGCTTTTCCAAAGCAGACGCTGACCAGACACTAATTTTAAGTATTGTCTGTTTTTTTTCTGGTTTTATATGATTTTGTCTTTATTAAAAGGTATCTCGATAAATTAATAAAAGTATTTATAAATTTCAACTTTTTACATGTCAAAATATATATTATATAAAAAAAATTAAGGGAGGTCCAATAATATAAAAAATATTAAAGAAAAAAAAGTGGAATCGTACAAACCAAGCACTACAAGAATAGATTGTTATTGGTAGTAACAAGCTGGAGAAAGAAGACGACGAGTATGAGATTTTTTTTATTACGGGGAAAACAAAACGGGTTTGAGATTGGTCATAGAAATTGCAGCCACGCTATTATTTTCGTATTATCATTGTTATAGTATTATTATATTTATTTTGTCTGTTTTAAAGCTCCAAAAAGAACACTTCTTTCTCCTTCACTTTCTCTGTCTTCATAGAACTGTATCCGCTTTCATAGAAGTCAAAATACAGGGTTCACTGCGTTTGATACTTCTTCTCTCCTTCCAGATCTTGTTAACCATTCAATTCTCCTGTTTCTTCTTCACTCGGATTTTTGTAGGGTGTTCTTGATATCCACGAAGGAAGTAAAGGTAGATTTTTTGTGTGTTCCATTTTCTAGTTATTATAATTATCCTATTGTTATTCTTCATGGTTTATCTGGGGGTTGCAATATGTTTATTTTGGTGGTTTTTTTTAATGGGTTTTGTTCCGTATCTTTGATAACAGTTAATTTTGTTTTGGGGGTTTGTGCAGGCATAAAGTGGTTTCTCTTCTTAGCCACATGAACTTTTGGTGTTGAATTTGGTTGGTGAGTAAATTGTTGAAGGCGGTGTACTGGAGGATTGTGGAGAAGGAGTGTTGAGGTTGATTTTGAAGTTGAAAAGGTTTGAAGTGGTTTTGGTGATTGTTGTTTGTTGAAGTTGGGTTTTTCAATGGCTGTAGAGGAGTCCGAGCCTGTGATTGGGGAGTTAGAAAGGGAGGAGAACTTGATTGCTGCAGTAAGGCATATTGTGAAGGCACTAGGGCCAAATAAGACCCTTACCAGTGATGCCAAGAAAATTCTGGCAGATCTTGGCACTAGATTGTCCTCCATGTCGGTCCCTAGTGAGAAGGAGGAGGGGAAACAAGGGCAAGGAGGGGAGGGTGGTGATGATCATGATGGTGTTGCTGCTGGTGATGATGATGATGAGGGTCTTAGTGCAATTGAAGAAAGGCTTAGTATGATTCAGGAGAAAGTTATGAGATGGGAGGAGGATCAGTCCATGATTTGGGATTTGGGACCTGAAGAAGCATCTGAGTATCTGAATGCTGCTAATGAAGCTCGCAGGTTGATTGAGAAGTTGGAAAGTTTGCATTTGAAGAAAGAGGATCAAGAGTACGAGTTTATGCAGAGGGCTTATAGTGTTCTTCAAACAGCTATGGCACGCCTTGAAGAAGAATTCAGGAACTTGCTTATCCAGAACAGGCAACCTTTTGAGCCTGAATATGTCTCTTTTAGGTCCAGTGAGGAAGATGCTGTTGATGAGAACTCCATAATCTCCGTAGGTGATGAGTCAGTTGAGGAATCACTTCAAAGAGATAGTGTCAGCAGAGCCTCTGAGGAGCATATCATTGATTTGGTTCATCCAGCCGTGATCCCGGATCTCAGGTGTATTGCAAACTTGCTTTTTGCTTCTAATTATTGCCAGGAATGTTCCAATGCTTATATTATTGTGCGGAGGGATGCCCTAGATGAGTGCCTCTTCATTCTTGAAATGGAAAGGCTCAGCATCGAGGACGTCTTGAAAATGCAGTGGGCTACTTTGAATTCCAAAATCAAAAGATGGATTTGGGCAGTGAAAATCTTTGTTAGGGTGTATCTTGCAAGTGAGAGGTGGCTTAGTGATCAGATTTTTGGGGAGGGTGAGCGTGTTAGTCTAGCTTGTTTTGTTGATGCATCTAAGGCTTCAATATTGCAGCTTCTGAATTTCGGTGAAGCCATGTCCATTGGTCCTCACCAACCTGAGAAATTGTTCCGTGTTCTTGACATGTATGAGGTTCTTCAAGACCTTATGCCAGACATTGATGCTTTGTACTCAGGTGAGGTTGGTTCCTCGGTTAAAATTGAATGTCATGATGTTCTGAAGAGATTAGGCGATTGTGTGAGGGCAACATTTTTTGAATTTGAAAATGCCATTGCAACAAATGCATCATCAACCCCTTTTGTAGGTGGTGGGATACATCCTTTAACCAAATATGTTATGAATTATCTTAGAACCCTTACAGACTACAGTGACATACTCAATCTACTTCTGAAGGACCAAGAAGAAGATGAATCCATTTCACTGTCACCTGACATGAGCCCTGGTACAGAAGAAGATAGCAGAAGCCAGGGGTCTCCAAGTAGAGTTTCCTCAATGGCCCTTCACTTCCGATCAATCGCATCGATCTTGGAAAGCAACCTTGAGGATAAGTCCAAGTTATACAAAGACGTCTCTTTGCAGCACTTGTTCTTGATGAACAACCTACATTATATGGCTGAAAAGGTTAAGGGGTCTGAACTCAGGCTCATATATGGAGATGAATGGATTCGAAAGCGCAACTGGAAGTTTCAGCAGCATGCAATGAAATATGAGAGGACTAGTTGGAGTCCCATTCTTCACATGCTTAAGGATGAAGGAATTCATGTTCCGGGTACAAATTTGGTCTCAAAAAGTCTTCTTAAAGAGAGGCTACGAAGCTTCTATCTTGGCTTTGAGGATGTTTACAGGATCCAGACAGCTTGGCTTATCCCAGATATTCAGCTTCGCGAAGATTTGCGGATTTCTATATCTCTAAAAGTAATCCAAGCTTATAGAACGTTTGTTGGGAGGCACAGCAATCACATAAGTGACAGAATCATTAAGTACACTGCTGATGATTTAGAAAACTACCTTTTGGATTTCTTTGAAGGATCTCAAAAGTTGTTGCAAAATCCTCATAGAAGGTGATAGCTGATAGGCAAGAATAATCTTCATCTCTTTACACAGGTTTGTATGTGTTCATAATCAGGTTAGGGTCCATGACAAAACCTTGTTGTCCCACTTAGTGTGTATTATATGTAATGATTGTAAGAGTTTCTGGGTTATGCTGCCCTTTTGCAATGCATTATTCTTTTCATATACTTAAATTTGATTTCATTCCAAAATTGAGTAATACGATATTCTGTTTTCTTTTTCTTCAAGTTTATTTATGTGTCAACACATGCAATAAATCTAAAAAGAATGGAGTAATTGGTAACTGGCCATTACGAATAGCCTTATTTATTATATTCAAAATCTCTTGTATTCAAATACCACTACAACTTACCACTGTTGTAACTTGCATACATATTTATGTTATATTGTACGCATACAAGACCATAAACCAAGTCAAATAACCATTTTGACTCCAGCGATTGGTCATCAAAGACATCTATTGTGGTCAAAATCTAGAATTAGTATTTGAAATGGTTCTTTACAAGACAAAAAAATATATTATAAATTTGACCTCTAGCTGATGGAATTGCATGGAATTGAGACATTTGAAGTCAACCATACATTTTCATGCCAGATGCTTTCACCAAACGGCCAGCAAAGATAATTAGTTACCAATTGATTTTCTTCTCAAGGAGATGATGAGACAAACACAGCTTTAGGAAAAAAAAATCTTAAAATGAGAATTTTTGCATAAAACTAATTATATGGACTTTTAATTTTAATAAGAAAAGTTTGAAGAGTCAAACGCTGTTATTCAAGAGATTGGTGAAGAGCACTTGGTCTTTTTCCCACGGAAGTGTAAGCCTATAAACTGAAAGAGACATTTCCTTGAGCAATTGGAAAACTTTGGAGGGGTCCTGAATGCAAATGGTCAATAGTCACATCATTGGTCAATATTTTAAATGGAAAATTGAAATTGAACCTAACTCTTTTTTGTCTGCCATGTGAATCATGAAGATAATAAGTCTCCTTTCCCACCATGGTGCCCCCCAAAACATAAAGGCATAAAGTAATGCACCCACCAAGGGGTTGCCTCAAACAAAGACTAACCTTTCTTGTCTTCTCTTGTGGAAAAATGTTCAAAGAAAAAGGGGTTTTGAATGAGAGTGAACAAATGAAAAATGTTAAAGGTCCTTATTGGCTGGCCTTATTTCATGTTTTATACTTGTATATGCTAAGTGGCATGGCAATGAGTCCTGTTTGAAGACGAGAAATGTGTTTGTTCCTTTGAGTAACGAAATATCCTCACCCTTTGACAAGAAACTATGCCCTGGAAACCCTTTCTTGAAAAATATGTATTACGCAGATATTGATTATTTGGTATTCTGAGATTATTTTTCAAAGCCTCATCAAATTCTCAATAGTTACCGCAATTCCAACAAATTATATCTGTGGCTGAATCTTGACAATTCACAGACAGCAACTTTACGGCCACCAACCAACCAAAAAATAACAGTTCTTGTAATTTCTTAACGGATAGTTCGTATTCTGTACACACTTACTTAAAATGCAGTTTCTTTCTTCTTCTATATTCAAACAGATAAATAAAATTTGTCTCATAAAGTAGAGAGTAATGGTAAAGGGTTACTTCTACTAAACCCTTAAGTTGAATCTCCATCAATTTCTAATACTCAACAAAATCATGCCACCTGGTAGCTCTTGATTGGACCACTTCATCAATTCAATTGGTTAATTCTAGCAAGATACATTCATAGGTCAGAACTTGCCCTAACTCTACGCAGGGATTTGAGTCTCAATCAAGCTGAATGTCATGTTTGTGGTAATGAAACAATCTTAGTATTGTTTACAGACTTTTGGGGAAAATAAATACTAAAGTTGGTGCCATGGAATAAGTCAAAAAAAAACTTCAACATCCACAATCTAACTGTCTCTATTCTCGTGTCATGAATTTCACTTGTAACAGGTCAAAAATTATATATACATCACAGTTTTTCTAAGAATTTCTCTGCTGATTGGCACTGAAAGTTTGGGAACTGCAACAGGGACATGTCAATCTTAAAATAAACTTAAGAGAGAAGCAAAAGTGTATTAATATTTTTCTTTAAAGAAAAAAAAATTACTCTTACAAATTTTTGTAGGAGAAGCTTTTCAAAATAAGATTATATATAGATCATCACAAGAGTTTGGTTAATTTCAAACCCAAACCATGAACAAAGTAGTAAACATTCTTTTTAATAATACTTTTGTCCATATTAATTATTCATTTGCATTATATTATACATATACATATTATAATTTTATTTTTATTTTATTTCAAATGAAGACATCCATAAAACGTTTATATAAAATATTAAATAATTTGTATATCATAATATTAAATAGAAAATACAATTATCTCTATAATAAAACTTTAAGTTTTTCTTAAAACTAAAAATCAATTAAATAATACTATTTACACACGTAAATCTCACAAACAAATCATTCAATATATAATATATTGAAAATAGTAAATAAATAAAAGATTAAGGGTACATGGTCCACTGGTCCTGCACGTGCTGTTTCGTCCATATTTATTTAATAATTGTCTGACTAAAAACAACTCTTTTACATCATTAAAAAAAAAACTTTATATGAACATTTTTTTTTCATATTCAGATATGATGTTGGTGAACAGGTATCACTACCACAATTAATAGTATAAATATACAAACCTGTTTCCCAGAAGCTTATGCAATCTGATCATCAAATCAACCTCATCTTCACTAAAATTTCCTCGTTTGATGTTCGGTTTCAAATAGTTCAACCATCTCAGTCTACAACTCTTCCTGCATCTCTTCAACCCTACTCACCACACACAGCACCATAGAATGACGGACAGAAATGTGAACTATTTATTACAACCTTTACTGTAGGATGTCAGGTATATGTAATGATTTCAGCACATAAAATGACAAAAAAGAAACAAAACAGTAAATTTAAATAAATGAATAGACGTAGACCTGCTCTTTCAGGAACAAGATGCCAGTTTCCTTCTCCATGAATCTGCACACAAGCTTTCAGAAGTTCATCTTCATATCTACTCCATGCCCCTTTCCTCACTCTTGATGATGATCCTTCCATGGCGCTTCCACTGTGTCACACACTTAATCATCACTCACCATACTTTCACTACATAATTTATTCACTTGTATATAGCTCAATTCTTTCATCTCTTTCAAGTAAATACCATTAACCATGTATTTACTGAGACACACGTATCTAACAATTTATGGAGATAACGTATTCCACATTGTTTATATTTATTATTATTATTATAGAAAGTCGTGTCTAAAAAATTAGTAAGACTTTAAATATATTTTATATTTAAAATATTTTAATATATTTAAATTTAATTTTTTTAATAATTAAAAATTTAATCATTATAATATGTTATTTTATATTTAAAAAATAATTTTAATTTTCTTTTATAATTATAATATATAAATAATGAATATTACTTTTTAATATTATGTAGTTAATACAACTTTTAATTATAAAATGAATATTATAATTTTTATTTAAAATAAAATTCTTAACAAATAAATAAATTGAAAATAATGGTACATTTTAAATATTATTTAATTGAACAACTGACATCATTGAAGAAAATGATTTGACATGCATTCAACAACATGTTAAAGTTAAACTTATTCATTTTAATTGAACTCCTGCTCTTACTATTATATTTTTATAAAAGTAGATTTTACACATGACGAAGTTTAATTTTATATTAATTTCCATGTTATTTCTAAGAAAATGTAAAGTGTTTTTTCATCAGTTTGTAAATGATATTTAAAATTTTAAATAATATACAATAATATATATTATTTCAAAAATTTATAGTCATCACAGAATTTAAAAATAAATATTTTATAAAAACTAAAATCAAACTTACAAAACAATACTTTTTTCATATAATAAAATACATTATCTAACAATTTAAATTGAATATTTTAAAAAAATACTGAGAAAAATATAAAAACTGAAAAACTTTTAATTGCCTTGCTTTACACAAGTCTCTTGCTTTGCTGTCAAAGCCTCAATCCAGAACTGTCCACAGCTTCCTTCATCAAATCACAACAAACCGTACAATACATTTAATACTCCTCATCTAATTTTATTTTATTTTTAAACAAAATTTTAATAGAAGATAAAATGTTAAGATATTTAATAGGATATGTTCATAAATTAAAAATATATTAATGTATTTCTTTTATGATAAAAAATAAATGTTATCAAAAATTAATTTCATCAATGCCTGTTACTATTTTATTAGTTTTTAAGTCATTTTTAAATTTTTTTATTAAATATAATTAATTTATTAATCTTTATGAATTATTAGATGAAGTATATAACTGCATAAGGATAGAAAAAATATATAAGAAAATTCATATTGAAAAACAATATATATATATATATATATAAATAATTATTATCTCAAAAATAATATATATAAAATTATTTTTTATTCTTAGTATTTATTTATTTCTAATTTAATAATTAAAATAAATTATTATTTTATAAAAATATATAATAAATTATATATATATATATATATAATATGTTACACTAACTTTTTTTATTTATATATGTTTATTGATTTGACATTATATTATAGTTGTAAATCTTTGATCACATAAATATTGTACATAATGTAAAATGAAGAAAATATTTTTTAACAAAACAAAATATTTTTTTAATAAAATAATAAATTATGTGTAATTTTTATAACTTTGAATTTACTTATATAAAAAGTATTTTTTTTATTATATTCTTTTAAAACACAACCATCATGGCTTTGTGTTTCACTTTTTATTTTTCATTTTTTTATATATAACCTTTCTGTTTTGATTCTTGTTAAAATTTTATTTTGACCCAATTAAAAGAAATTATTTGTATTTATGTATTTAGTTTTTTAATGTGATTACAATGTTTATCACTAATTATATCATAAAAAAAATTAAGTAAATAAACAGTTATTTATTAGAATTAAGACAAAAAAATAACATATAACGAATAAAAAAAACATTTTATGATAAAACTAAAATAAAAATGACATATTAAAAAAAATATTAATAAGTAACTTAAAAGATTTATTAATATAAAATTAGGGTTTGAAATAACCTAATCAAATGAATCCAAAGTGGAATGAACATTCAGCCTTAAATATTTATCGATATCTATAATTAATAGAACAAAATATTAAAAACAAAAGACTGTTTATTTTTTGGTGGTATAAAGTTATTTAACCCTATTATAGGGCAGATGATATGATATTTGTCTTTTAGGATGAAAATATTACTTTTAGGAATGTTTATAAATAAAAGTATAATTATATAAATAATATTTTATAATAATAATTAAAAATATTTTTAATTTTTTTATAATAAATATATTTATTCACTTAATATTATTTTTTAATTTTTAATTTTTAGATTTTTATTGTTTTTCTTGATTCAGTTTTTTTTCACTGGAGATTCACTTTGTTTGTTCATATTTTTTTTTAATAATTATTTTTTATATTTTTTTCTTGATTTCATTCACTATTTTATAAATCGGACTAAATTAGTATATTCAATAGATTGAACTAATTATTATATTATAAATTAGTGTATTACTTTTAAATAATAAGATTTTAATTAAATCAAAATAAAACTGATAAAATTAGAAAAAATGATTAAATTTTTAGATTAATCAAGATTTAGTATATATACATATGATTATTTTTTTAATATAATTGTTTTATAAAAGATAAGATATATATTTTTTTATCTCATATTAATTATATAAATTTTAAATAATTATTATTTTATTATATTTTTTATTTTATTTTAGTAATTAATCATTTTCACATTATAGTATATTTTATATTTATAATATTTATTATATGGTACGATAATTATATCAGTAATTTTTATTGTTCTTTTATAAAATATTATTGTTAATAAATTTATTATATTATAAAAATATTTATAATTTTCATTATATAATATGATAATAATATTAGTAATTTTTATTGTTTTTTTATGAAAAATACTATTATTAATAAATTTCTTATATTATAAAAATATTATTTTATTAAATTTGATGGAATGGATTACCTTTTTAATCTTGAATTGATATCCAATTTTAAAAACATTTTCACCTTAGACTATGAAATTTATAAAAAAAAAATTAATTTTTTTTATATTTTTATTTTTATAACATAAAAGTTATAATTTTTTTTCTGTTTAGAAAGACATAAACAATAATTAAAAAATAAAACAGAGATCTTCTACTATTTTTTATAAAAATAAAAAGATAAATATATTTTTTATTATTATTATAAGAAATAATTAACATGCGTAGTGTTATAAATATATTTGTTATATATACATAAAGGCACACTAATGAATTCGAGTGTCCAGCACTTATATTAACTAGAAAACAAATATTATTTGTGAGGCTTATTATCCATTTAGACCCTATCCAATAAAATCTTTATTTGGTAGAAAATATGGTTTTAGAGTAACATATATTTTTATAAAATTGAAAAAAAAAACTAAAAATAACGATAAAATATTATATATATTTATTTATTGAGACACACTCGTTAAACAATGGAGTAAAAAAAAAAAACTGTTCACATAATCATCAATTTGATTCTCAACTAACTTATATAGTAAAATTTTAACAATGTCTGTATTTATAGAATATTTGAGTAAAAAGTATTTTTATAAATTTTAAAATATGTTAAAATATAAAAATTATATTTTATAAATAAAAAAATATTTATACACCAAGATACACGTATCTAACAATTTATTGAGAAAACACATGTTGTCTTGTTGTTACGTATCTAACAATTTATTGATGTTTTCTTGTTGTTAAGTGAAATAGCAGGTATCAGAATTCTTTTATACCCGGTAATACGTAGAAGATGAAAAAAAAATTATAAAAGATTTCCATATTGTTGAGTTACAGGTGAAAAGGTCAATAGTAAAATGTCTGATAAATTAAATATGAGAGCTGTTTATACACAAATGTGATAGTATAATTATTGGAATTCCTGTTTATTTTAGTTTTAAGTATCTCAAATGTCAAAAATAATTAGGTATATATAAGGTAAGATATTGCTTATTATCAAAACCATCAATCTAATTCATCTATTGGATATACTTCCCATCTCTAGATCTTTCATTTCTTAAGATAATATATCGAGATAGCTGTCCAAAAATTCAATAAGAAATTTACATGTAATATTTCTTCTCAAAACCTTGAAACACTTATTTTACTAGTAAATTGAAACGTGCCTACTATAAATTTTTTTATTATAAAGTTAAAAAATATATTAAAATGTAGCAATATAAAATCTTGGATATTATAAATTATTTGAATGTAAGAACTCGCGTATAGTCAAAACCACCTATTTAAAATATAAGTAGTATGAGAATAAGTGTGCATCTGTGCATCTGTGCATCTGTGTGCGTGAAATAAACATGTAAATGTAATAATGAAAATAATACATAAATTTTCTACTATTGTGATTAATTTCATTAATAAAAATATTTTTCCTATAGATTATTTGATGTTTAAGATTATTATACTATGTTTAAAAATATATAATATTACCAAAAAATAATATAATTAGTTTAATTTTAATTATTAACTCATTATTATGTGTGTATTTAATTATCAAACATTGTAACACAAGAAAATATCATACTTAATATACATGTATAAAAAAAATTAAGAAGACTTAAAACTATAACTTTCAACTTTAAAAAAAATTTAAGAATAGTAAATTTATTAGTTATCTAATTATTTTAATTTATAAATAAAAATAATTACAGCAAAACTTAAAACTATAACTTTCAACTTAAAAAAAATAAAGTTAAAAATTTAAGAATAGAAAATTTATTAGTTATCTAATTATTTTAATTTATAAATAAAAACAATTACATAATTATGTACATGCATGTACATGTATGTGCATATACTATATATATGCATATATATATATATATATATATATATATATATATATTATAATTTAATATATATTCTATAAATGCATTTGTGTATATTTTTGATATTATATTTTAATAATATGAATATATATATATATATATATATTATAATTTAATATATATTCTATAAATGCACCTGTGTATATTTTTGATATCATACTCTAATAATATAAATATATATATATATATATATATATATTATAATTTAATATATATTCTATAAATGCACCTGTCTATATTTTTGATATTATACTCTAATAATGTGAACTTCATTGATATGAAACTAAATCAGAGGCCATGTGCTACGGAGAAAGGACACTAATTTGAAGAAAACTTGAAAAATGGAAATGAAAGCAGAGAAAAAAGAAATGATAAAACAGTGACAAGTGACGTTAGAAGAAGCATGGACCCGGAAACAGTGCCAAATTCAGATTTAATTGACACATGCATTGTTTCTCCTTCTCGAACCAGATGGCTATCATAATTGCGCATGTACACTAAATTGACCTTCCTTTTAATTATATATATTTTTTATTTCTCATAATTGGTTAGTTCAATTCGCGTGCAACTTTCCTTATTTACATCTTTTCTGTAATAATGTTTTAGGTTATAAATATATAATAATAATTTTATTTTTATTAAAAAATAACTTTTATATTTTTGTTAAATATTTTAGGTTATAAATATATAATAATAATTTTATTTTTATTAAAAAATAACTTTTATATTTTTATTAAATATTATTTATTTTTTAAATAATAATAAAAATGTTTATAAATAATTATTATTTATAATTCATATATTTTATTATTTGGTTTGTGTATCTTATATTGAGAATTTTATAAAATTATTATTTCTTGTCCTTCTAATATTAAATAATCAAAATATAAATAAATAAATAAATAATATGAAATTATTTATGTATAAAATAAAAAAATAAATTACATTATCATTTGATATATTTATTATTTACAACAATGAGTAAAATAAATAGTTTTTTATTTATAATTTAAAATCATTCGAAAAGGACATTAATTTTATGTCATGATTGGAAAGTAGGGTTGATAGGCTTATAGGTCCCCACCAAGCGAAATTGTCATCGTTGTACACACCATTCAACCCGTTTTGACCCCAGGATGCAACTCAACATTTGGTGGGCCATTACCAATTATGTCCTTTCTTTCTTTTTAACAATAACGACTGAAAGTGTAAAATTTTTTCTTCCAATTTTTTTTAGTATTAATAATTAATTATTTTAAAATGGAGTTTGATTTTTATTATTTAATTTCAATAAATTTTTATTTTGTCATCTTAGTTGAAGTTTGTGATATAATTTTAAAATTTGGAGTGAATTTTTATAAAGTGCGGGGCCGGACGAATTTTTCCTTTCCGTCATTGATTTCTTTAACCATCTTCGTCTCAGTTTCCGAATTATGTCGATGTTAAAAATTAAGTCTTCATCTTCATTTTTGCTAAGTTTTGGATTTTTCGTCCTCTCCCGTCTTCAATTTATATTATTTAAAAAAATAATTATATTTATAATAAATTAATTTTACTATGTATTTTTTATATATAAATAAATATTTATAATTATTATTAATTAAATATATATATTTTAATTTATTATATTTATATTAAAATATATATGTAAAATAAATATTTAATCATTATATATATATATATATATAATATTTATAACATTATTATTATTATTATTATTATAACACTCTATTTAAATATTTGAATACTTATAATAATATTATTATTATAATACTGTATTTAAACATTTGATTACATATATAAGTTAATTTATTTTTAAGTTGTCATTTAAAAATATAAAATACTTAATTTATAAGAAAATATTTAATAAGTTAATTCTTATTTAATTAGTCCGAAGTAATAAAAGTTTAAATTACTAATTTCTTTTAATATTCTAAAATATAATTATTTTATTAAGATAAAATTTGATATATGATAAATACAAATAATAAGATAAAAAATTATGACATAATAAAATTTAATAAATATAAATTATAAATAAAATAATATTAGTTATTACTAATATTTATGTAAAATATTTAGAAAAAGATAGAAAAGAAAAAAATTAACTTTGTATTGATCAAATTGGTTGAAAAGATTAAAAAAAATAAATAAATTGATGGGAGAGATTAAGAAAATATGAAAAATAGAAAGATAAGAGAGAATAATGTAATAAATTAATTAATATAAAAGATTAAATAAATTAAAGAGTGGGTAGAAAAAAAAATAAAAATGGTGAAATATAAAAAAATAACCTTATATATAATAGAAACAGAAAAAGAAATACTTTTAAAATATTAATATTTTAAAATTTAAATTTAAATATAAAGTCGGGACGATGACGGATTAGGGTGGGGATTACATTACCCATCCCGCTCCCGACTTTTTAAAGGGGAAAAACCTGAACACGCCCCATCCTCGGTCAACTCGAATTTTTTCGTCAAACTCGGGACAATAATGGTTCTGGTCTCTACGGTACAAGTTTAATTGCTTTCCGTGAGTGAAAACTTAAAAAAAAAAGAACAAATATTATAAATAAAAATATTCAGTTTAAGGACTATAATTTGATATTTCATCCATCAAATATACAATTTGGTTCAATAGTTGGATTTGTAATTTTTTTTTAATTTTTATTAAAGTTTTAAAATAATAAATATAAAAAATTTCGATGACTTGTGTTTTTATAATTCAAGTCAAACAAACCCATACACATTCTTACGACCTATAGACAATATCGTCTACACATTGTTTATTCTTCTTAATTTCTTAACCAGTGCTTTTAGCAAGAACTTTCAAAAGTAACTCAAACCCTAATATAAAACCTATTATAACTTGAGGTCCTTCCTATGAAAACAAACATAACACACATTACTAAATGTCTTAGGTTAATTAAGAAGAAAATCGCTCAAAGTTTCACCTTCTGTAGGAAAGTCAGAAGCCATAAAATTAAGTTCTTCATCCCAAAACTCAAAATTTCCACCAGGGAAGCATGTGCTGTTGTTAATATTTTCTTCTTTCTCATCTAACAAAGTTTCCCACCAATTCTCATGTCCTGATGATGAAACTGCTTCACCAACACCAACTTTGGAACTACTCATGAATTTTCCTTGCAGCAAAGGCCATGCTTTTGGCAAAGCTCGAGGCACAGGCTTTATCACTTGGTGGGTTTTCCTAGTGGTTTCGGATTCTTTTACATTTTCCTTGTTGTTGACTTTGTTGTGACAGAGTACTTTGCGTCGCAGGTTGGTGTTCCAGAAATTCTTCACATCGTTTGAAGTTCTTCCAGGAAGTCTTCCTGCAATCAGAGACCATCTGCATCCACACACAGTTTTTGTTTCATTATTAGTATTTACTTGCTATTTAAAAAGATAATTTATCATATTTTGATAACCTTTGTCATGATTAACCGTCATGCATGACATAACTAAGTTGACTGTGTTTGATTAAGCATATTCCAGACAATGATAATAAAAAAGTATTTGTTTCTTTTCCTGTCTCTAAATAACTATTCTACAGCATTTGCACACTCACTTGCTTTCTGACTAAATATTTTAAGCATGTCAAATATACACACTACATAGTTTATTACAAGAGATATCTCTTCTACAATCACTATATACAAACCTGTTTCCCAAAAGTTTATGCAATCTGATCATCAAATCAACCTCATCTTCACTAAAATTTCCTCGTTTGATGTCTGGTTTCAAATAGTTCAACCATCTCAATCTACAACTCTTCCTGCACCTGTTCAACCCTACTTATACCAAGTGCAACAACATATATACAACAATGTTTAGTAATAATTTTTACAACTTCAATTATTATAAGGATGTCTCTTTGGCATAATAATAAAATCATTGCATGCCACAAAGCAATTGGAGAAAGCTAAAATAAACAAATAGAAAGAAACCTGATCTATGAGGAACAAGGTGCCATTTTCCTTCTCCATGAAGTTGCACACAATCTCTGAGAAGGTCATCTTCAGTTTGACTCCATGCTCCTTTCCTCACACCTGATGATGTTCCTTCCATGATGAGACTAAGTGCTTGCATTATAGTGATACCTTGAGAACTTACTATAAGTGGAGAAAAAAGATTTATCTCCATGTATATATATACAGAGAGAGATAGAGGTGTATGTATGAGCACGTATATACCTACAGAGATTGCACCTTTCTATCAATTTAGGGTGAAAATGGATACTTGATTTGCTTGCCAATTCCTGTTTCTCTATCATAACCATACATTTCATTTCATGGTACACATGTGAATTTATAATTTGGTAAATGATCTATGTTACTGAAGACTAATTGATTTTTGGAATTTACCAGTTTTGTTAGTGATGATCATTTTGATGCCAATTTACCAATCTTAGTAAACTTATGATTAATTGAGCAACTTTCATGAATCATTAGATGTAGTAGATATACGATTTGTACGATAAGAGACGTACGTGGCCGAAGAAGATCCAGATTGCAAAACTATATTCTAACCATAAGATATATTTTATTTATTATATCTTGCTGGGAAACTACTCTCTCTTTTCTTTTCATGTATTTGTTGATTATTTATTTATTTGATATTATTATCATACGCGTAAAACTTTTGTCCAAAATAAATATTATACAAATATATGATGTACAAAAAAATGAATACTTAAGGACATAGAGAAAAGTAACATCATATTTAAGTCTCTTATTAGGCATATGCTTTGTTATTAATTAGTAGCCAAATGAGATTGATTTTTTATGGTGAGAAGTCTGTAATTGATGTTCATGTTTGTTTATTAAGGTGAGAAATAATTTGAAGAGAAATAAGTTTTTTAGTGAGTAATAAATTGAAAGTTCGAATTCCACATTATGTCATGGTATCGTAATCCATTATCATAAAATAATAGTAAACAAAAACGATATTGATTGGATTTAAAATTTTTTAATTTAACGACATATATATATGAGTCAAAGGATGTCATAGAAACTTCTCAAAGTCACAAGACGACATGCATGAGACCCTAATTTCTCGTTAGTCAGACAACGTGAGGCCCTACTAATAATATCAACCTTTGTCCATTTCTTCAAATTCAATAATTCCTGTGATTGGAATGGAACACAATCAATCTTTGCAACACAATTTAGCTGACAACAGATCTCTCGCTACTGATTTATTTTTCTAATAGTGATCACATATTAATAATTTTTACTTTTTTTAGTAGATTTTAAATAATTTATTATAAATTTTAGTTTATTTTGTCTTCAAGTAAATAAATTTTTGAACATTAGAATATAAGATGTTATGTGTTTTACTATAGCTAGTTTGTTGTTGGTAGATATAAGAAGGAAGATCTATTAGAACTCTAATAAATTAAGAATAAAGACGACAAAATATATACTCTTAAAGAGATTTTTTAGAGTCTCGTACCGTTGGCTTTATAGATTGGACAAACCACCTTTCTTCAAATTAATTTTTCCTTCCCTAGCATGAACTAAGTCAAATTTATACACTTTTTAGTCATCTTTATCTTCTAAAATTGCTTGTATATGACGGACAAATTTTAAATCCATGTAAATTGTTTATCTTTGTGGCCTTTCTCAACATTGGTTATGTAAAGGAAAAAAAAGTGATGTTTTCATAATTTAAAATATGTAATATAAAAGGGGTCTGTCAGTATAATTTGAAAACACTTCTCCAAAAAGTGTTAGTGTAATTTAAATCTTACAATTTTCAATTACTTCATTAAATTCTTAAAATTATTATTTTAATATTTATCTATCTATATTAATATTATTACTTAGTAAGATGTTGCATGTTACAATTGAATTAATTTTATTTACAGACACTTTAAGATTTCAGAGACTAAATTTATATATTTTGAGGATCAAAAAGACCTTTAAAAAAAAAAAAGGAAAATGCTGATAGTTGGGGTAGTTAAATTAGTTGTGCATTTCCCCGTTTTGAGTTGGGCGCGCTCTCGTGGATTGTTGTTTTTGATTGCTTCTTCATTGCCATAGAAAATAAAATCCTATTTTCATTACCTCAAATCTCAGATTGAGAAGATTACATTGCCATAATGTCCAATCTTCATCTTATTGTTCTTCTTCTGGCCCCTGCATTGATGTGTAGCATCGTGGATTCGATGCAGTTCGAGCTGCGAGCCGCTCACCCCAAGTGCATTTCCGAGGATATGAAGAGCAACGTCATCAGCTCCGGCAATTACCACGTCGTTAATCTCAACAATGTCGGCACCGTTGATGATAGTCACAAGATCTCTGTCAGGGTATGCTCATCATGATTCAGTCCTTTTTGCATCATACTATTTCAGTTTTAATTCATTAGTGAATCTTGGTTTTAGTAATAATAAAGAAATATGTTTGATTTTCGTTCTTAAAAGAATATCAAACGTTGTTTGTGTTATTATGTCAATACATCATGCCATTTACTATTGTTTGTGTTAACCTCATTAGATGAACAATAAACTAAGATTTTCAAAGGATAGAAATCAGGAAAATATTTGGGAAAATCGACTGCACTTTGGATAAATCTTCCGATCACAAATCATATACAGTAAATTTGTTTATTTTACATACCTATCCTTTATCAATCATAATTTTTGAATGATTAATGTAAAATAACGTGATTAACAAGAATAAAGAAGAGAAAAAAACTCAGAAAGTGGTTCGGGAGAGTGATTATGAAAAACGGAATTCAATTTTTTTTTTCACAAATGTACAAGACAACTATTTATATCTAACTGAATGCTACTATCAATACATCTATCATCTAACAAAAAACTAATGGAATGAAGATAAAATAACAAACTATCTGTTACAGCCCCCTCAAGCTGGAATGTATATATCGGACATTCCAAGCTTGGAGACAAAGGTTTGAAAAATATGAGCAATCGAAGATTTAGTTAAAATACCGGAAACTGCTCTTTGGTGGATACAGGTAGGAGATGCATGACACCCGATTGAACCTTTTCCAGCTCATAGTATAACCTGACAATCAATTTCCATATCTTTTATTCTTTCGTGAAAGAAAGGATTAGTCCCAAATTAAAGGGGATTGATTGTCACATAACAAAGCAACAGGTGTGAGTTTGTTAAGGTTAAAGTCTGCCAAAAGATAGATCAATCACTGAGCTTCACACGTCGTTTGAGTCAAAACTCGATACTAAGCTCCGAAGATGAGTGAGATTCGATATATTGTTTCTTACTCTTCCATGAAATCAATGAAGAGCCAAGAAAGAAACAAAATCCTGTGATTGAGCTTCTCGTGTTCGGGCAAGCACACTACACTATATCCTTTAAGTTTCATATATGAATCAGTAGAAATGAAAAGACCCTTCCCAGGATTTTGTTTGATATATCTGAGTATTCTAAGAGTAGCCTTGTAATGAGTATTTGTTGGATTGTCCAAGTATTGACTAAGACTTCCCACTGCATAAGAAATATCTGATCTGGTATTGGTCAGATATTTAAGTTTTCCAAGGAGTCTTCTATATGCAAGAACATCAGAAAAAGAATACTCAGGGTTCTGCTGAATTTTCACAGTATGGTCCATTGGAGTGCTACAGGGTTTTGAACCAAGCAACCCTGTTTCTTGCAACAGTTCAAGAGCATACTTTCTTTGACATAGATTAATGCCCTTTTCAGTCCTTGTAACTTCTAATCCCAGGAAAAAACTCAAATTTCCTAGGTCCTTTATGCTAAACTTTTGACCGAGTAAAATTTTAACTCCAACAATCTCCTCACTGTCAGTTCCTCCCACAATCAAGTCATGCACATAGATCAATATAACAGTCAATCCTTTGAGAGTCTCTTTCGTAAATAAAGAGTAGTCTGCCTTTGATTGTTTGAATCCAGAGGCAATAACAGTGTCTGTTAGCTTGATGTTCCACAGCCTACTTGCTTGTTTTAGTCCAGGGACTTTTCAAGTTTGCAGACTAATGTGGAATCTGATAATTGAAGCCCCGGGGGAGGCTCCATATAAACCTCTTCCCTCAAATCCCCATGCAAAAAAGCTGTTTTTACATCTAATTGGTGCATCTCCCAGTTGCAAGCAACAACAATTGACAAAAGTACTCTTATTGTGGTCAATTTAACCACTGGACTGAAAGTTTCCAAATAGTCAATCCCAGCAGTTTGAGTAAATCCTTTTGCAACCAGTCGCACCTTATATCTCTCAATACTTCCATGCTTGACCTTAAACACCCACTTGCACCCAACAGTCTTCTTTCCTTCAGGAAGAGAAGTTAGAGTACAAGTATGATTCTTACTCAGAGCTGTTAGTTCATTTTCAATAGCATGCTTCCAGCAATCATTAATAGTAGCTTCTTGATATGATCGGGGTTAAACAATAGAAGAGATAGCCAAGGAAAAGTGTTTTTGAGAGTCAAGTAGTGAATCATAAGAGAGAGAATTTGAAAGAGGATACCTGACAGATTTGAATGTTGGTGTGGCTCCTGTAGCAGCCAATGTGCAATGGTAATCCTGTAAATATGAGGGAGGTCTCCTAACTCTTTGTGACTGTCTGGTCGGTTCAATGGTTACATTTTGATTAGAGTTCATATGAGATCCCTCATTTTAGCCTTCATTATTCTCAAAAAGGTTACCAACCAGATATAGAATTTTGATTTATGACAGTAATGGGTGCGGATTTATCAATAATAGCAGTGTTATTATTATTATGAAAAAGAATTTTTTTTTTCGTAAAACATAACATCTCTAGATTTGAAGGTTTCTCTTGTTTTTAGATCATATAAAATATATCCTTTAATTCTTGTTTTGAAACCCAGAAAACTACATTTCCTAGACCTTGAGTCTAATTTTTTACTTGATGCTGTTAAGCTTGATGCAAAACACAAACATTCAAAAATCTTTAGGTTTGATATCTTAGGTAAAATGTTCATTAAGACTTGATAACTATTGATAGGGAAATACAATATTACAACCTAAAATATGAAGCGGAAATATTTTTCCAAAACTTGCAAAGATCTCAGAGGAATAATAATAATAAATAATGACAAAAATAATCACAGAAAACATTAATATTTTTAGTGTAAAAAAAATCTCCTTAATATAAGAAATAAAAACTCACAAGCACAAGCCAGTCAAACAAACTCCATTAAGATCAAAGTATAAATACAAGAGAATCGAATTAAAATACACAAATAAGTGCCTATATATCGAAACAACAATGCTCTCAAATACAAAGAACAAAGAAAAAAAAACCTTAAAACCAATCACAGTGTGAGACGGATATCTCCAACCACAAACCTCCAATTAAATTTTCCAACAGTCAAAATAAAGATCCTTACACCACGAACCTCCTGTCAAAATTCCAGCCCAATACAACATTAAACTAAATGACAATCGTAATTTTACTGAGATAGCTTGATAAATGAGCAAAATTGTTTTCCTTTCTTTTTCTCTTCCAGAGACTGTGAACTATTCTCTCTGTTCTGACCTACCAGATCCCAACCCAACAACTAATGATTAAGTGCACAACATGACTTATAGCATAATTCCAAAAAAGTTTTGGTAGATTCGATTGAAAGATGAGAGATGTAACCATATTAAGAATGTGTTGATATTTTCTCTTTATAATACCATTTTGTTTTGGTGTTTCTACATAAGAGGTTTGATGATTAATTCCTTCCAAAGCATACCACTCTTTCATAAGGAATTCAGCACCATTGTTAGATATAATATTTTTTATTTTTTTATTGTTTTGTGTATGAATTAAAGAGACAAAATTCTTTAATTCTATATTTTCGTATTTTTGTTTCATTAAGTAAATCGAAGGGTACTTGGATTTATCCTCCACTACGGTTAAAATGTCCTATGACCAAAAAAAGATGGAATGGACAAAGGATCCCAAGTATCAACATGCACCAGATAAAAAAATCCACAGAAGTATTCACATTATTACTGAAAAGCAATTTTTTGTTTAGCTATATGACAAATTTCACAAGGATTTTTTGTTTTATTACATTTAATATGAGGGTATAGATTTTTTATTACATTCAATTTTTCATGAGATAGGTGACCTAACCTCGTGTGCCAAAGATCAGAATCATATATAAAAATATTATTAACACAGTATCATACCAAGTTTGACTGATTATTAGGAACCATTGTATAAAGTCCTGACTTCAGTTCAACTGCACCAATCATCCTCATAGAGTGCGAGTCCTGAATCTGAAAATCAGAATCAGAAAAAATGAATTTACAAGATAACGATTTTGTTAGTTTAGAAACTGAAATCAGGTTAAAACTGAAATCAGGAATATACAAAACATCTGTCAGGTAGAAGTCTCTTGACATATATACTGTTCTTGAGATTTGAGTGCAAATTTGACTCCTATCAGGCAACTTAATAGGAATCGGTTTAATCCTTTTGTGGGACTGCAATTTTTTTAAGGAATTACATACATGATCTGTAGCTTAATGATCCAAGAAATGGAATTGCTATTTTGAGACAAAGCAAGGATTATACCCGAGGTTTTTGTGAATGACTGATGATTTAAAGAACTGGTTACTTGATTCACTGCATGCCCAGTCTAGTTTGTTGATTGCTGTAGCAATCCAAGAAGTGTCTTATGTTGCTCTTGAGTAAACAGAAGATATATTTTACGGAAGATAAAACACTGTGGTTTATTTTACTCTTTAAATAGAGTTTAAAATAAAACAAATACAGAATAAATATCCCTTATTTTTAGGCATAACTCAACGGTTACTTTGACCTATATTTTCCAAACTGATAAAAAACAGAATCACTACTATTCTAAAGAATAGGTCCTAAACATCCACTTTTGCAGCTATTACGGCACACGTTCAACAAATATCCTCCTTGCCTCAATAGTTGCAAACACCTAGTTTATTTCCTAAAGCTTCAAATTTGAATTTTGGAAGAACTTTTGTTAAGACATCTGCACCTTGATCTTCAGTTCTGCAGTAAATTAATTTAACTTCACCTTCTCTTTGTGCTTCCCTCAAAAAACACAACTTGATCTTGAAATGCTTAGTCCTGCCATGAAAAACAAGATTATTTGAAATGGAAATAACTGCTTGATTATCAACAAAAATCTGTGTAGGCTCCTTTTGTTCCATATGTAAATCAGCAAGTATACGCCTTAGCCAAATAGCTTGATTTACTGCTGCAGTAGCTGCCACATATTCTGCCTCAGTTGTACTCTGAGCCACTATATCTTGTTTTTTTGAACTCCATGAAAACATACCTGAACCTAAGCTGAAACAGTAACCTGTTGTGTTTTTCATGTCATCAATT